GGCCCCATGGTCACATCTGCCCCAGGAACCTGTGCTCCACCATTCCCTGCCCTTCGAACTGCCCCTTGGTGGCCACCCTTGGCCCCAGGAGGCTCCCCCTTGCCTGATGGCTGTGAGAACATTCATGCTCCTTGCAGCCCAAACCCAGCATCCATGCCCTCAGGAAACAAGGACAATAACACATGTCGATGGCCACATAAATTTAAGAACATTAATGACAAAGGAGTGTGCAAATGTATTAAAGCCACTGAAGTGTCAGAGGGTGTCATAGGAAATTGACAAGAGATGGGACAGGCGGGTGGCAGAGAATGGGCCAAAGGGGCCCGGCCTGGAGGGGCAGGTGAGGCTCAGCTCCATCTCCACCTGTTGATAAGACAAGTCCCCTCCTCCCCAGCATGCTGGAGGGATCAGAATGCCTGTGGGACGTCAGCAAGGTCCACACATGACCCTGCAGCCCAGAGAAGAATGTCTTCCTGGGACCTAAAACCTGCAGAGCCAGCTGGTGTGAATGCGTCAGGACCAGAGTAAAAGCAGGAGGATCTGGTCTGAAACGGACGACAGGGGCTGGCAGCTGTCCTCTTGGGTAACCGGCCAGTCCACTTCCAAGGCATTTAGTGCCCATACTCCGAGAAATGCTGAGAGAAGTAAAAGTGAACACGTAAAACATGCCTCCCCCAAGGAGCTTGTGATATATGACAATTAACAGCTCGGACTGTCTGGGTTCCTGTCCTGCCTCTGCCGCCCACCAAGAGCAGCTGCCACTTAGTGAGAGCCTAGAATGTGCCGGACGTTTGACAGACGATACCACATGTCATCCTCACCACAGCCCTGAAGGATGGGGACTGTTTTCTGCCTTTTACAAACAAGGAAACTGAGGCTATGATCTTTCAATCATAGTTTAAAACAGAAAGAAAGAAAAAAAACAGAGGCTCAGAAAGGTTAAGTTTTGTCTAGTGGCACGGTTAGCAAGTGTCAGATCCCTGACTGGGGGCCACTATTCTCCCATTTATGGTGCGGTCACTGTGTGGCCTTAAGCACAGTTAAAAGGTCTGGGTTAAATGATTCTTAGAGCCCGCTTTGCTCTGAAACTCTCGATATAACTGGAAGGAAAAAAACAACCTCAGACAAGCAAGAGCCACACGGGAGCTGGGGGTGGCACAGGTTTGGGCATTATGGGAGTTTAAGGAGCGAAGGCCGCAGGCAGAGGTGGGGACGTCAGGCCTGAATACAGTTGGTGGGCGAGGGGGGGCCCTGGACAGGCTGAGGCCGCCCTGAGTCTGGCGGTCCCAGGGCCACGATCGTAAATGAACAGCAGCGGAGACACACAGCACTTGTTTCAGCTCACTCCTAGAGAGGGGCAGAGACCGCGGAGCCCAAACACAGGCTATTTTTGGCGTTGTGTTGTTTGGAGAGCAACCAGGCCAGAAATAGTGCTGTGAGTTAGCAGGACCTCGGCCTTCTCCCACCCCCAGCTCTCCCAGTGAAATCACCAAGAATTGGGAGGCCGGGACCTGCATTCCAGGGAGGCTGTGTAACTCCCTTCCCCACAGGAAGGTTCCGGAGCCGAGCATTTGACTGTAAAAGGGATTCTGGAAGGTAGGAGGGAAAGAGGGATTGAGTCAGAGAGAGCGGAAAAAGAGAGAGTATGAAACGGGGTACCGTGTAGCAAAGGACAGGAGACAGGGATGGACCAGGAGGAAGTGGAAGGCTGTGGGAGAGAAAGGGAAAGTGAAAAAGAGAGTGAAGGGAGAGGAAAGAGGAAGCAGAGATGGGGGGGTGGGGGCAGGGGCGAAAAGGGGTGGTGGGAAGATCATGGCGCTGAGGCTCCACCGTGCGGGCTGGGGTGGGGGTGGGGCTGGGGGTGGACAGTCACGGAAAGTATGAGTCTGGTCTAGTCACGAACACCTGCTGGGGGGCAGATGGAGACATCTTTCCCAGTTGGCTGGAACCGGAACTTTCCCCCAAAAATCCACAGCCCTGTAACTCACTCTCTTATCTCTGACCCTCCGGAAATCAGAAATCCACCTATTTCAACAGCAGGGACTTTTCCATCTCTGTCCGTTTGGCCTTTCACAAAAGAGCTAAGCCTGGAAAGAGAGGCCTGGGTCAGGCTGTTCGTGTGGGGTTTGGGGAAAGGGGAAAGTGACCACCCCCTGAGTCAGGCAAGGTTCTGAGAAGGGTGTTCAGGGAGGTCTGCCGGGGAACAGCACCCCCTGCCCCACGGCAGCCCACAGGCGCCTGAGCCCTGGAGTGTCGGAGGCCTGGGCTCCGAGGGCAGGCAGGGTGGAGATGGGCGGCAGGGGCCACGGTGGAGTCTTGGTTCCAGAGCACAGAGGCAGCCCCAGGGCTTCAGAGTCAAAGGGAAAATCAGAAACACCCAGGGACCCAGGCATGGTTTTGCTTCAGTTTCTAAGACACAACCCCCCATGTGTCTACACGGTCCCTCCAGTTTGGGAAGAGACCCATTTGCAAGTCAGCTGTTTCTGTTTCCAAAGTAAAATGCTCACCAGCCCCCACCCCGATCAGGACACAGAGCTCTCTCCCCTGTGCCCAAGAGCACAGTGTCTTTTCTGGAACACATCAGGATCATCCTCCAGGTCCCTGAGCAGGGACAACATTGGTCACTGCCCTCGCAAGGCCCAGGCTGTCCGCAGAAAACACCAGGGGCTTTTACAGCTGAGGCCTGGCAGGGTATGGGACAATGGCCCCTGGAATTGTTACGGCGAGTGTTATAGTGACCGGTCCCAGGGGAACAACCGAGCAGCACGCAGAGAGTTGAAGGGTCAGCAAGTTTTATTGCCGGCGGCCCAGAGGAGACAAGCCTCCAAATTCTGAGCACCTCTTCCAGGTTTTTGTCAGGTTTTATACTTTTTTGGGGGGGTTAGTCTTATGCAATAACACATACAAGCATAAAAGTTAACCAATTAGTAAAAGGATTAAAAGTTAGCCAATTAATAGCAGTTTTTATATGCAGTACAGTTAGGATAGGCTTATAACAAACAGTATAGTTATGATAGGTTTACAACAAGCAGTACCGTCATGACAGGCTTATAACTCTGCTTAATTGTTTTGTGGTTTTAGCTTGCAAAGCTGACAGGTGTCAGCTTCTACTTAAGCTGCTTTGCGGTTTTAAGCAGAACTGGCATGGAAATTTCCCACCAGAATGACAGATGAGACGAGGAAGGCGGAGGCCCGGCTACGGAGGCTGGACAGGTGAAGGCACCCGGAAGGCCACCTCCAGCTGCATCAAGACCCACGGCTCCTCCAGGTCCTTGGCACATGGCACTCCCAACCCAGACTCCCAGATCCCTGTGTCCCTCTAACCCCTAAGGACGGAGGGCAAGGCCTTGGGGGCATTTCTGAGGACAAGAGATGGGCTTGGGGCTGGACTTCGGCCTTCTCCATCCAAGAGGTCAGGGGCAGTTGCTCCTTCCTCACCACTAACCACGCTCTCTCAAGGACTCCAAACCACAACCAAGAAAAGGAAAAAGATAAACACGAGGCAGTTCCCAGGAACAGTTCTCACAAACAGTGTTTGTGAGCTGAACTTTCCAACCGAGGTTCCCCCTTCTTTCCCTGGCACCCCCCACCTCCACCTGACTCCCGGGAACAACAAGAAAACAAAGCCTGAGGAGGAAAAAAATGGAAGAGCTGTTCAGCTGTGGTTGCCCTTGGTATCTGTTTACTGAAAAAATCCAAAACAAATATCCCGACACTACCACCCACTTAAACTTCCTGTGACTCGGCTATCGGCCATCTCCATGGATACGCCCAGTTGAACCCCTACACAGAGCATGACAGTGTGTGAACCCCAAGGTCAAGTGTACACTCTCCTCCCGGCAGGACCCCTCCATCCACAATGTCTAGGCCACACGGCCAAGGGTGTCTGACCCTGCCAAGACCCCAAAGGCGCTAGTCTGGTCCTACGCATTCACCCATCACTGGCCAATCTCCACCCTCTATAGAATCCACTGGCCACTCTTCCTTCACTTACCTCCATGCCCTAAAAGCACACCCCACAAACCCCCTATGAATTAACACTCTGCTTCTATCCCTCCTCCTGCTGTTCCAGCCCCCAAGTGTCTGGGTCTGGAGGAAAAGGATAAGATATAAGTTCTCCCGAGTCACAGCAGCAGCTCAAAGAAACAAAACTTAGGCATCCGACTCCTAATTGCTTGCCAAGGCTTTACCTTGGTAACCCCTGGTCCCTTTCAGCCACCACCACCCCACCCAGCACACCTCAAACCCCAGCCAGACAGGGCTGTTGACACAAAGGGAGCCCTCAGGGGCACTGAGAGAGTCTGGACACGTGGGGGGAGTCAGCCGCGCATCATCGGAGGCGGCCGGGCGGGCACATGGCGGGAACGAGAGAAAGACCAGGAGTCGTGTTGGGCCCGAGTCCTAGACAGACAAAACCCAGACAAACACGTGGCACGCTGCATGCCCTCTGGCTGCTGGGCAGAGGCCAAGAGGAGGGAGGGGTGTTCTTTCCTGCAGGTTGGCGGGACACGGGCAGACTGCACTAGAGGAAAACCGTCTGCAGGATCCTTAGCTTCTTTGGTAACTCCACAGTGACCCATTTCTCCAAAGGAAAAGGGAGCAATGAGAGCCGTTCTTCTCTGAACTGAGCACTAGGGAGGGTGATCCGGAACCCGGGGCACTTTGGGGCCATCTGGCACCGCAGGGGTCAAGCTGGCAGGACATCCACAGAGAGTGGGACACAGGCAGCAAAGTCAAGGGAGGTCCTGGGGCCAAGGCAATCGGGGTTTGCACAATTGTTCCCAAGCCCTCTTACACACGTACGCACACGGAGCAGCACGCACACACACGCCTCGGCAAGTCCTGGAGAGGGAGGTGCCAAGGGGGCCTGGCCGGCTGTTCAGACAGACTTCCAGAGCCAGAAAGTGGGTGGGGCTGGAGCATGAGTTAATCTATTTCCTGTCCACATCTGGTATAAAGGGAGCCAGCAGCCGGAGGAGAAGCACAGCTGTGTCTGGCTGCAGGGCCAAGAGCGCTGTCAAGAAAGAGAGCCACGCCCCCTCCGCTAGCCGCCAAACCGCCACAAGTCAGCAGCAGCAGGACAAATCGCCAATCACAAGGCACCTTTGAGAACTTCAGGTAGGAAAAAAGCAAACTCCCGCTACCTCTTACTCCTCCCCAGAATCTCCTCCATCTACGACCGCCCAGAGACCTGCAGCCTTGAGTTGAGCCTGCCCTGGCAATGAGCACAGGGGAGCAGGGAGGGTGGTCACCCAAACCAACAACCTCATCACCCAGAAACAAGGACTCTGTCCCTCTCCATCAAGACACTCCACTTCCCCACCTCATGCCTGCTAACCTGAACGAAACGGGCGTTGGGAAAGCATTACAGAGAACTAAAAAGCGTTGTGCGAGTCAGGAGTGTCATTATAACTTAGCCTTTCAGCCCCTTGGAGGGGAAGGGAGATACACGGGAGCTGTTTCCAAGATCCCCACAGGTGAAAATGGGCTTACGACTCCCTTGGGCTGACCCCGGTAACACTCAGTCCGAGCCAGAGTGGGAAGGGCTGAGTCTAAACGTATTGATCGTGGTCTCCTAAACGTATCGTGGTCTTGTGTTCAAATGCCACCTGCCAGCTGCAAAAAAAGGGGATCCTGGCCCACGACTGGGGTCCCACCTGCCCTCCCTGCTTGCCACTCTTCCAGAACGATTCCTTCATCAGCTGCTCTTCCTCTTGCTCTAGGATGCAGATGTCTCTAGCCCTCGCCTGCCTCACCCTGGGCCTGGCCCTCATCTTTGGTGAAGGGTCCGCCCTGTACCAACCCGAGTCCCAGGCGGCTCAGCTGGCCACAGACTTTGGGGTGAAGGTGTTTCAGCAGGTGGCGCAGGACTCCAAGGATCGCAATGTGATTTTCTCACCCTATGGGGTGGCCTCAGTGCTGGCCATGCTGCAGCTGCCAACAGGAGGAAAAACCCGGCAGCAGATCCAATCGGCAATGGGATTCGAGATTGAGGGTGAGAGGTGGGGCAGAGAGGGAGGTGGGAATCACAGAACAGGGGGCGAACCAACCAGAAGCAGAGGAAAGGCTGGCTCTGGCTTAGCCAAGTCAACCCATGTGCAGCTGTGCTCTGGGACCACCCCATCTTCTTCCCACTGCACCCTGCGTCCTTGCCCCTGACCCGCCAAGGGTGTGCAGGCCCATGGATTTACCACTTGTTAATTGTATGACCTTAACCCCTGTAAGCCTCAGTTTCCTCATCTACAAAACGGGGATAATAAAAATACCTACCACATAGGGCTGCTGCAAAGATTAAATAGAATCACTCACACAAAATGCTTAGCATCGTCATTACCGTAAGAAAAAAGTTAGGGTTCATAATTTAAGGAGAGAAAAATATTCCAACGCAAAGAAAGAGTTAGGACCAGAGACTTTTGAGGAAAGGAGGGAGAGGCAGAAAAGAGATTAAGGTTTAGAATGAAATCTCCCTCCAGAGATCCCTGGAAGAGCAGAAGAGCCCCATCCGTGCAGACAGGGTTGAGCCTCTCATGGGGGAAGTCAGCCCAGCTTGAAGCCCTGGGCTCGACATGGGCCTAATGTGTCCTTTCCTTCTTGCCTTGGCACAGAGAAGGGTGTGGCCCCTGCCCTCCGCCAACTGCGCAAGGAGCTCCTGGGGCCATGGAACAAGGATGAGATTAGCACCACCGACGCCATCTTTGTCCAGCGGGATCTGAAGCTGGTCGAGGGCTTCATGTCCCACTTCTTCAGGCTGTTTCGGACCACGGTCAAGCAGGTGGACTTCTCAGAGGGGGACAGAGCCAGATTCATCATCAATGACTGGGTGAAGACACACACGAAAGGTGAGCGGCAGGGCAAGGAAGCCCAGCCCAAGGGCTTGAGGAGAAAGGGAATTTGGAAATCCGCATAGCCTAAGCTCTCCCCTCTCTTCTCTGTGGACAGATGGCTAAACGCTTTAAGAATCAAAGCGAATAGCTAGTATTTGTCACAGTCAGGCTTCCTCATGAACTAACTATGCAGGCATCCCTAAAAAGTGTTGTGAAATTTAATAAGAACAGCAATAACCAGGACAAGGGGCACACATGAGCCTTCAGGACTGCAGTGGTGGGGGGGTCTAAGTCGAGGGGGGGCGTTAAGTCCCTAACTCTGATCTTGGGATCCCAGGACAGAGAAAGTGCAGTGAGCTGGAAGACTTTCTGCACCTCTTGGGAAGGTAGAACAGGTCAAAAGCAGCTAGATGGGTTCATTTAAACCTCCTCCTGCCCTTTGATGGGATCCCTTCAACATGCATCCATTTGAGGACTAGGGGTTAAGGGAACCAGCTGAAAGGCTTTAAAAATATCTAATTTCCTGATCAATGGCTTTCCCACAGGTATGATCAGCGACTTACTTGGGAAAGGGGCTGTGGACCAGCTGACGCGCCTGGTGCTAGTGAACGCTCTCTACTTCAACGGCCACTGGAAGACGCCCTTCCCCACCGAGGGCACCCACCAGCGCCTGTTCCACAAGTCCGACGGCAGCACTGTCTCTGTGCCTATGATGACTCAGACCAACAAGTTCAACTACAGTAAGTGCGAGAGCCCCCTTCCCACCACCCATGATGACTGCGTTTCATCCCTGGGGTCTCCCAAGCAACATCCAAAGTGTCACCCTCTGAGGGAGGAAAACCACAGGGAACGTTCCCCTCTAAGGAAGGAGGAACCCTAGAACACACCTCGGCTTTGAGAAAGGTTTTCCAAGCAGGAGGCACAGGGGTGACAGGAACAGAAGAAAGGAGCTTTATCTCATGCAAGGGGAAGCTGAAATCCAGAAACTCCCTCAGGCCCAGGCTGGCCCACTTGACTCCTGTCTCTCATTTTCAAGTGGTTCTCATGTGATTGCCTGGGGCCAGCAATCCTGCTGGAGAGGGCCACGTGGAGGATGAGGTTAAGAGGATGGGGATTGGAATGAACTGGCGGCTGGGAGTAGGAGAGAGGGAAGTGAACATGAGGAAGGCCCAAGGAGACAGAGAAACCAGAAGACTCTGAACTGGCAGGAGAGACGGGAAATGGAAAGGAAATCACTGAATAGGGGAGCAATGGGTGGGGGAACCCCAAAAGCCAGGATGAAGAACTTGGCTTCCCGAAAGAGTGAGTAGACAGGAGAACTAGGTGAAAACCAGTGCTGGGCTGGAGCCAAGGAGAGCCGGAGCCATTTCCAATGCGCCATCTTGGTGTCTTCACAGCCGAGTTCACCACCCCTGACGGCCATTACTACGACATCCTGGAGTTGCCCTACCACGGGGACACCCTCAGCATGTTCATTGCTGCTCCCTATGAGAAAGAGGTGCCCCTCTCTGCCCTCATCAACATCCTGGACGCCCAGCTCATCAGCCAGTGGAAAGGCAACATGACCAGACTGCCCCGCCTCCTGGTTCTGCCCAAGTAAGTCCCCCTGCTCCTGCCACACTCACCAATGCCCCAGACCCTGCTCTCTCCCCCTCTCCTCTCTCCTGGCTTCCTGAAATCACCGCCCCCATGTTGAATTTCCCAGCTCTGTGATGCTTGCAGGGCAGGGACATGGGTGCGTGGGAGGCTGATAGGAAACACTCCGGCCTGGGTTTGATTATGACTCCTCCAATCATCCCTCTTCCTGTTTCTGCTGGAGAGCAGGGGAGAGCCTTTCTAGACCATGGCCACACACGTACCACCCCCAGAATACCCAGTAACAGCCAGCCAATGGGAAAGCCAGGGAAAGAATGGAGGTGGGGGGCTCAATCAGTCCACATCCACTTATGTCGCCTGCACTCCCACCCCCACCCCCCAAGTCATCATCCAAACAACGCAAATGAAAGGAATCACTTCTGCAGATGGGGCAGCTCAAACCACAGCTTCTAGCCGGGGTTTTGACAGAGCAGATTTTTACAATAAAATGTCTCTGCAGAAGCAAAGGGAGTGGAGAAGGCTGAGGCTGGGTAATTCCAGAATTACAGGGAAGCCTCCCACCAGGCCTATGCCGAACTTCCAGATGCTATAATGCCAGGTTTGGAGAAAGAGGAGAATTTAGTTGTTAGCTGGTGCGTGCTCTCACTTGCATGCGCTCTCGCGCTCTCTCTCTCTCTCTCTCTCTCTCTGGCTCATAAAAATTGAGGTAATTAGCTGTGCCCTGGTGAGAAGCAGAGTGCCCCAAAGCCTCACTGCTTGAATGCTCTTCAGGCTTAGCTCTCAGAAACACCATCGACAGACCAGATTTTTGCTCAAACATCCTTGCAGAAGAATTTGCCCTTGGCCCCCCAGCTAGACTGAATAAAATTATGCTGAAACTACTGCCTTATTTGAGGAAAGTAATTAGTCATAAGTTCGAGGGGGTGGGGAGATTGCAGAAGAATAATCATGAATATTAGAAATCTCCAGCAAGGAGAGAGACTTTGCAAACAGATTTGAAAAAAAAACAGGCCTCCTTCTTCAACTTGCTCATCAATTTCTCTTCTGTCCGTCTGCCCCCGGGGACACCTGGTAGGCGAAGGGGAGAGACAGGGGCTGCCAGTCAGAGGGTACCCAAGGTCAAGCTGTCTCCTGCTGCTGTCCACAGGTTCTCCCTGGAGAGTGAAGTTGACCTCAGGAAGCCCCTGGAGAACTTGGGGATGACCGACATGTTCAGCCCGGGCCAGGCAGACTTCACGAATCTTTCAGGTGAGAGGATTTTCCCTCTCATTGTCTTATCCCAGTGGACTGTGCAGTCCCAAAGAGGTCAAAGGAGCCTCTCCTGAGAGTGGTGGCTGATCCGCCCTTGTATCCACCTCTGTTTCAGAGCAAGAGCCTCTGCACGTCTCGCAGGCACTGCAGAAAGTGAAGATTGAGGTGAACGAGAGTGGCACGGTAGCATCCTCCTCCACAGGTGAGTCTGGGCCAGGTGAGGCTCCGTGAGTCTCAGCCCAAGGCTTCAGGAGGGGCCGCTGCCTGGTGCCTCAGTCGTCTTCAGGATAACTAGTCCCCGAACCCAGAATGGACTCTGTGGCCCTGCTCTGCATGGGCCTCTCTCCCTAGGTCCCTGTTCCCTCACCCGATGGCTCCTGAGGCCCCTGAAGGTGAAAAGACCTCCCAAAGGAAAGCCCAAGCTATCCCCACAGTGGGTAGTAAACTTAAGAAACTTGCCCTAAAAGGATTTAGACAGACGTATGTTTGTGAGCGAATAGCTGATCCATCTCTACCAAAGTCCTGGAGGAAACCAGGTGTCAGAGGACGTCCCTAAACTTTTAAGGTTTGTATTCAGGAGAACAAACAAGCCTCCTAAAAATCACCTCCCAGCACTGCTGTCAGATGGAAGGCTAGTGTCCCCTGGTCACTTGGGATCAATCCAGGCACCAGCACCAATGTCCCTCTGTTCTAAGACGTTGTCCCTTCTCTTCCAGCCATTGTGGTCTCATCCCGGATGGCCCCCATGGAGATCATCATGGACAGACCCTTCCTCTTTGTGGTTCGGCACAACCCCACAGGTGAGCCCGGAATCTACCACAATCCACATCCTCCCAGTCATTCTCCTTGTCTCGGGCACCAGGGCAGACAGACATAGACATCCCTCCAGCCCCGAGAGGACCCTGGGCGAGAATCTGTAGCCCTGTCCCTCCGCCTCTCCCCAGAGGAGGCGACCTCCAACCCAGACAGGCAGTGCCAGGACCTCAGTCCCAGCTCCGTCACTTAGGCAGTGGCGTCTGCAGACAGTTCCCATCTTCTCAATCTCAGTGCCTCCATCCAGGTTGAGCTTGGGGAGCTGTCCTGTCCCTTCCAACTCTCAATCCACCATTCTCCCACCCTTAGGAGCAGTCCTTTTCATGGGCCAAGTGATGGAACCCTGACCGTGGGAAAAGAAGCCTTCATCTGGAACAAAACTGGAAATGTATCAGAAAAGAAGAAACTAGGAAGAAAAGAATTTTAGTTTTACTGACTCTTTCTGGAGAAAGACATTTGCCTTTTTGAAAAATGGTAAATCTTTCACATCTGTCTCCTAGACCTCAGCCTCTCCCAGGAGTTGGAAAGAGGCCCTTCAGGTCAAACTCCCCAGTCTCTAACGGGGACCCCGGGAGAGGGGTCTCAAGTGCAAGGCCCTGCACGTCGCCAAACCAGACCATAACACCCACAGAACCGTCCGTACAGCTGCTTCCACCCGTCTCTCTGCCCACTCAGGTCTTCAGACCAGGTTCCTGCTGGGCCCTGGCAGGAGGGAGCCACATGGCTCACAGGAGCTTTGTGTGCTGGTTAGAAGCGATCTGTGTTCCAGTCGCGTCGCCCTCACCCTTGCACTGTCTACCACTGCCGAGGAGGCTGGCGACAGGCCAAAGGCGGCCAATAGAAGAAACACCCTTTCATCCCAAGGACTGCTCTGGCACTGACCACCTGTCCCTAGCGCAGAGCTGGCACAGCGCACGCCCCTCAACGCTGAGACCTCTGGGCCTGGCCCTTCCCCTCCCCAGAAACAGTGTACATGTGTTACTTTGGAGTGTAGGTGACTTGTTTACTCATAGAAGCAGGTTTTTGCTTCCCTTTCTTTTACAGGAATAGAGGAAGAAAGGTCAGATGTGTGCCTGGCTCCTCGCCCCCCATCTCACGGTGGGGAAGGTGGGATGCCACGGCTGTGCCCGAATATTTATCACATCCTTGCCCTTGTGTGCTTATTAGCGACAAAGAGGACTATTAAGGGGGAAAAAGCCATTGTTTAAACTTGCTCTTAGTGTTGTTCCTTTGTGGTCTGTGTCATTGCATCTCAGGAGTCTGGCCACTTGACTGTCATACCCCTCCGGGTGTCAAGCGTGATGGGGCCCACACTGCCACCTTGTGGCTGCCTGGCCTTTTTCCACTTAATGGATCAGGGCCCCTGCGGAGGTGAGCCAACTTCAGCCTGCTTTAGGGACCAAAAGGACGGGGTGGGTGAGAGACGCTGGAGTGAGGACAGAGAGGCTTCAAATTTTTTCAATATATTTAGGAACAGAAATGCAAGGGGCTGCACGACCTACCAGGACAGAACTTTCCCCAATTACGGGGTGACTCACAACTGCATTGGTGACTCACTTCAATGTGTCATTTCCGGCTGCTGTGTGTGAGCAGTGGACACGTGAGGGGGGGGTGGGTGAAAGAGACAGAAAGCTCAGATTCAACTACCTTAGTTAGATAATCTTTTTGAAAAGCTACTAGCTAGAGGGTATGGCACGAAGATTAATTTATTGAAGAATTGCACATAGATCTGAAATGAATGTACTCTAATAGAAGTCTAATCCATGATGCCCTTCACTGAAAAATCCTCAGACTTTGTTTTTTTTTTCTTTTTTGATTATGCACTGGACAGCAATGACCACACACAGTACCCACAGAGGGTGGGGTCAAATGCTCTTGAAATTGTGTTGAATTATATGCTTTTTCACTTTTGATATATAAACAAGTAAAAATGATTCAAAAAATAATAAAATAAATAAATACAATAATAAAAAAAGAGTAGCTGATACATATATCCTATAATTCAGCACTCCTAGGTAGAGTCAGGAGAAATATAAAAAATTATTCTTGCCAGCATTATTTGTAGTAGTCCCAAATTGAAGACAACTCAGATTTCCATCAACAGTATGAAAATCAGTCAATATAAAATAACACCAGGCTGAGCGCAGAGGGATGGGGAACCTGCGGCCTTGGGGCCACGTGTGACCTTCTGGATCCCTGAGTGCCACCTTTTGACTGAATCCAAATT